CGGTTCAAAGCCGTCCCAACCCGCCCCCCCCCCCGTTCGGGCCCCGCTCGCAGTAACGCTGCCCCCCCCACCTCCCGCTCCGCCGTTCGGAATCCCCGCTCCGTGTCACGCGCCCACCCCGCCCCACTCGCGTGGCGTAACTTCCGGCGCACGCTCTCGCGAGACTTCCGGCGTTGCCCAGGAAACGAGGCCTGTGTAGGCCGCGGCGGGGCTCTGAGCAGGCCGCGTTGAGTCCCGGCTGGACCAGGGGCGAGCGAGTGGGGCTGGAGGTTCTGTGCGTCTCCTGTGATCTGTTGTGGAGGCCTTGGGAGCCGCGGGCTGGGAGGAGCCGAGCCCTAATGGTGGTTTGGTCCTCAAGGGCAGCAGGGCCTGAGCCTGAGAGGGGCTTCTCCTCCCTGCTCAGCCACCGTGCGGTTCAGGCCCTGGGAGACAGCAGGTCGGTCGCTAAAAGGGGCCAAGAAGCCGCTTCTCTCAGTCTGTGCCCCCTGGGCTGTGCCCCTCCAATGTGTCGGCAGTGGCTGGAGCAGCTCCTCACCTTGTTATGGGCTCAGCGTGATGGGGACGTCTGAGGTTTCTCTCTGGGGCTGCTTTTTGCCCTGCACATCTGGCACCCTGCACAGACCAGCCACGTGGCATGGGGGTTGCTGTGGAGTCAGCCTGCCCCGTAGATAAAGGAATTGTCTCTTTCATTTTGTTGGGCCTCATGGCTTCTGCAGTAAGAACAGTAGTGAATTTCGGCAGGTGTCTTGCTAAGGGTGAATGTGCTGCTCCTTTGTTCTCCTTTTGCTTCCCTTCTGCCTGCCTTCAGCCTCCTGTTGCTGGTGCACGTGGCCAGGAGCTGCCTGGAGGCTGCAGCCCCTCAAACCTCATGTGTCACAACCAGCCCTGAGCTGGGATCTCTGTGTGTAAGATTCCAGCAAACCGTGCAGCTCTTGTAATAAATGGGCAGGTGTGGTTTACCTGGATCCCCAAATGTCACTGAGCTGTATTTTAAGTGCTTACATGAGGAGGAAAAAAATGTTTCAGATGCATCTCCCTGTGTTGTTGCAGCATCCCATGCTGTTAGACAGTTGCTGTGAAGATGCAGAACAGGAAGTGGTTTAATTTACTGTATCTTGTCAAATATCTCCTAGCAAACTGCAGGGGGTAACGTTTGTATGTAGGGGTGTTCAAATACTTAACAGACGTTAAATGTGAGTCTGTTATATAACCTGATCTCAAACTTCTGGTATATTCTGTGTTCAGCTAGGGGAGTTTACTTCTGTGGCTATTTTGCTTGCCAGTCTTCAAACTCCTTGAGCTGAACCTGCCTGGCTTGTAAACTGTCTTTAACTGCAGCTAATGGGCTGGAGAGATTTGAGTTATTCCTTCTGTGCTTTGTGGTGCTCCACACAAAATGTGACAAGTTATTTTGCACCTGTTTCTGAGTGTGCCAGAGAGCTCTAACTCGATATTCATCGTGCAAGAGTATGCTGCAAAAGAAATGACTTATTAAAACTGAAACACCGTGAGAGCGAGCAGTAAGTTTATAATGGAGAATAAAGGTTTAAAAATGATCACAAATATGTGGAATTTTCTGTCATTATAACTTTCCTACACCGAAGAAGAATAACAGCAGCACTATATCAAATCAGATTATTTTTAGGGTTATTTAGGTAGTGTTGATTGAAGCAATGTTACTTTTAGAGAAGAGCTGGAAGGCTACCAAACCCAAAAAAGGAGTGTGAGTCAGCAGCGCTGTTGTCCGGGCCGTGTGAGTCAGCACTGGCTGAGGGCTCCTTATCCTTCTGGAGGATTGGGTCTCTGCACCATTTACCTTACTTGACCAACTCTGCAGTGCCAGCATTGGCGAGCCTCTCATTGCTGCACCTGAGTATTCTAAAATCAGAGAGCAAAATCTCTCAAGGGGGGGATTTGTTTCTCATGAAAGTTGCTGAAGAATTGTGGGGGTTCACTGAAGCTGGGACATCTGTTTTGTGTTGTGACACAAACACAGTAAGCACAAGAATTTGTCTTATGCCTGGACTTTCGTTCTGGTTCCCGGCTCCCTCCGTTCTTTCAAGGCAAAACTTTGAAGAGGGAGAAAGAGAGAGGATAGGAAGGTTTTGAAGAACAAAACAGATCAGCACGGTTACTTGGCAGCCCAGTCCCTATCTAACACTCGTTAGATGATAAACCAAGACAGGAAGATGTGCAGCCAGCTGAGTTTTCCTCACTGCGCGCTCGGGTCGGTGGGTGTTGATTTTTGGATGAACCATTTTTCGTTTGAAGCAGTGCCTTCAAGGGGAGAAAAACACACAAAGGAGAAACCTTAAAAAAGACGATTCTCAAACTTCACAGGGAAGGGGGTGTGAGGGCGACTGAAGGGATCTGCAGGGCCTCGTGCCAGCAGAAGGCTTGTGCAGAGCAGAAGTACGAGGTGCACCACCTGCAGTTTTGCTCACAGGCCACCTATACGGGATTTCTCTTCCCAGTCAAGTGAGAATCTTGAGGAATGGGAGGAGGCTTCAAAGAGCAGCATCAACTGCCTGTGAAATTGCTGCTGTTTGTAGGAAGGATATTTTTCTCCTTTCATACAGGAGATGATTAAGTTGCCATTCATTGTCCTTCTGAGCATGTGTGATGGCTCCCATAGCAACCATCTAAAACTTTTGTTTGGCCACATAATTATTTGGTTCTTTTGAATCCAGGTAACCCAGAGCCTTGATGTCTTTTCCCTGTTGGGTAACAGAAGAACAACAGCTTTCCTCTTTGACACTCAGACTTTTCACACAGTCATTCTGTCATTAGAAAAATAAGTAAACACCCATTTTACAGATGAAGAAGCTGAAGCAGATGGGATTAATGCTTTAGTGGAAGCTGTACAGCAATCACCGGACCAGAGCTTGCATCTTCACATGCTCCAAATTTGCCCTTTCTCGTCTGTGGGTGCTCAGCCCTCCAGCTTTGTGCTGCTAACTTCTGTATGTGTGCTGCAGTTGCAGCTGAGCACCCAGAGGTGACCTGAATCTGCAGCTTGCTTTGCACCTTTACGTGACTGAAGTAGCACAACCCTTCTCCCCGACCCCGTCCTTCTGTACAACGTGGCCTCATTTCTCAAGTGCACAATGGTTATGAAGAGGAAACATCAGAATAACCCCATTGTTTCCTTGCCTTCAAGGAAATATTTTCTTGATTTAGTGCTGATGTTGTCGTGGATTTCTTGTATTAGTTAACAATTGCAAGGGGCTGATGGCTGCCCAGTGTGGAACATTTATTATTTCATGCCAATTGAGGCAGCTTCTCCCAGCTTGAGACTGCAAACAGGACAGGTAGGTCTCATGCTATTGCCAGGCAATGTGTTATTGCCCTGTATTGCAGCACCATGGAAAAATAGAACTTGTAAAGACATTTAAAATAAGGAAGAACGATCACCCAGTGTAAGAGATGGATCCAGCATTAATTATGTTGAATGGATGTGTCAGGTCATCTGGGAAGTGCCATCAGTACTGGAGCTGAAGTGTATGCTGTGTGGCATAACCACTTGCTCCAATGGGACATGTGCCTTGGAAGTGTTCTGTGCCTTTTTCTAAATAGAAAACTCATGCAATTGATGTCTGGAAGCTTCAGAACATTGCAAGGGGTAGGCAGACCCTGTTTGACCTCCTGGGTGAATCAAAGCCAGAGCTGTCGCTGAATGGAGTGGGAGAATTCCAGTCTTGGTGAGCTTGGGATAGCTGTCTTTACCTGCTAATGGGGAAATGGACACATGAACCATAGGAAACTTCAGCCTGCAGCCCTCAGGATGACCTGTAAAGTCTTAGAAATTCAGCTGAAGGAAAAAGCAGGGGGTTTACAGCTGGGAAATAAGCCTCGAATAGATGCAGGTAGCAGTTAATTGTCCACTTGGGATTTAAAAAAAAATAAATAAATCCTGCTCCAAACACAGAGTGGAAAATTGTGGATAATGCCAATATTATCCTGAATTAGACTTAAGGTTTTTGTTTCTGTGATAAACCTTTGCATTTGATGTACAGTTTTGAGGGGATGGGGTGCTTGGAGGCTGGGGGAAAGGATAGGAAGAAAGGGCTTTGAGTCTTTCAGTGCGTTCAGCAGGCATTGCATGTAGCTCCCATCTCTGTTGCAGCAACGTGAGCAGCCCATGGATCCCTGCAGCTGCTGGGGGGGGGGGCTTGGGAGTGCCTGCATTGCAGTGCACTGGGGGGGCTGCAGCCGGGGGCTGTGCAGGGGGCTGCAGGGCTCTGTGCAAAGCCCAGCTGAGGGAAAATGTGGTGCTTCTGTGGTCCTGAGCGTGGCTGGGGGACGTGCTGCAAAAGCACAGGTGTGCTGGCCTCTAGGAGAAGAAACAAAGGGGGAAATGGTGGAAAATGGAAAAGGAAGAAGAAGAAAAGATGTCCCGATGCCTGAGAAATAATAATAATGAATGCACGCGTATATAGAGACAGCAGAGTTCCACTGGATTCGGAAGGCTCTGTTCTGCTCTTCTGCATCTACTTTTACAACACTTTCACCCCTAACTGCAGCCCCTTTGGTGCCCTGGTGCACAAACTGTGCCTAAAAGCACTGAGCCCATCAGGAACCCCCACCTCCCTGCCTGTTTGGCTGAGAATGCGGCAGGGTTTGGGCTCCGGCTGGGAGCTCCATCCTCCTCATGAGCAGAGCTCAGAGCCACTCCATCCATTTCATTAAAATACACACATAAGTATGAAACGAATGGAATGAGATGAAACGAAAGGAAATGAGAAAAGATGCAAGTAATAAAGATAACAAAGAGAATTTAAAAAAAAAAATCGCTCGGTTTTGCTTTCATCGGATAAAAGGGAAGCAGAGCAGCAGACAAGAAAGGCAGGCAGGGGAGAAGGCCATCTTTTGCCGGAGCTGGGTGTGTCTGCCCCCCACCCACCCACACCGCCCCCCCCTCCCCATCACCCCCCTCCTCCCGGCTCCGCAGTTCTGGCAGCGGGCGGACGGGGAGGGACCGCCGTCAAAGCCGCCCGGAGGAGCCGGAGCCGCTCATTGCCGCCGCCGCGGACCCGCCCGTCCCTCCGCTCCATCCCCGCTCTGCGGGCGCTCCGCTCCGACCTCGCCTCCCCGTACCCGGCAGCATGGCCAGCACCGTCTCAGGTAGGGCTGCTCGTTACCCTTCTTCTCTTTATATACATACATATATATATATATATGGAGGTTTTTGGATTATTGGTTGTTTTTTTTTTCCCCTTCACCTGTGCTGTTTTGGATGCATTGTTCCCCACCGCCCAGCACACACCCCCTGGTGCGAGGCAGTGGGTGCTCCTTGGATTTTAATAGCGATCCACCCGTGATAAATGTGCCTATTTATGCTATGGCTGCTGCTATGTTGCACCATCCGACGGCGCTGCTTGCCAATTCATGGCTATTTCTGCAGTGTGATGCAGCTTTCTTTTTATTCCCTTTAATAAACGTGCATGGGGTGTAGCTGGATGCAGAGAAATGCCAAATGGCGTTTCCCTACAATTCGGTTCTGTGAAGATTGCTTAAATGGATATTGGTTAAATGGATATTGGAAAGAAAGACATGGAGAATTAAAAATCCCTCAAAAAAAAAAGCCTAAACCCAACCTGGGTGCGCTGCTGTGCGATCTCCCAGCTCCCCACCCTGTGTTTCTTTCATCAGGAGATGCTCCAGGGGAGCGGTCCTCTGATGGCGCTGGTGAAGCAGTGCTGCAGGGCAGCCCCCCTCCTTCCCTCCCTCCCTCCTCCTGCAGCAGCGCTGGGGCTCTGGGTGGGCTCTGCTCCCCCTAAAAATGATCCTTGTCCCTTTGAGCCGGAGAGCAGGAATTGAAATGGCTGGAGGTTGGGCAGAGGAGAAAATCCTGCATTGATACAGCGGACAGTGGGTGTGTTCAGAGGGTCTTTCTCTTTTCCCTTAAAAAAAAAATACATAGAAGTTTCTGGAGAAAACACAGTGCATAAAGAGGGGCTTGGATGGGTGAAGCTGAACCATGCAGGGCTGGGGTGTGGGACTGAATAGGAAGGAAAGACAAAAAGGAAATGTGGGGAGTGCTTTGTGCCCCCTCTGTGGCAGAGAAGCAGGCAGAAGGCAGCAGGCAGCACCCCTGCCTCTTCCCCTGCCCTTTGCTGGGTCCTTCTAAGCGTTCTCTGTTCTTTTCTCCTTTTAAAAGGGATGGAAAGATGGGAGGTTTTGTGGGGTGGGTGAGGTGCGGTGGGCTTTGCATGCAGCTGTAGGTGGGGAAGCAGCACATCAAAAGTGGTCGGAAATCTTCAGCCATTCCATGCATTCGTGCAAGTGCTCCTGTGTCAGGGCGTGCTGGGAGGTGCCCCCCAACTGTTCCCACCCTATGATGGGGCTGGGGATGTTTGCAGCTGGGAAGAGGACATGGAGCCACTTAGGGGGACACAGCAGACTGCTTGGCCATGACACCAAGGGCGCAGCAAACTCAGCACAGGCAAGGTGCTGGATGCATCCCCCATTTGGTGCATTCTTGCTTTCCCAGCCCCATGCCCGTGCCACATTTCACCTGCTGGAAGATGCAGTTTTACTGCCAGGGCAGACTTCGAATCGTGCAGAAGTGTGTGCTTCACAAAACCGTGCTTTTTGTAGCTCTCTGCAAGCACAGAAGTGATGTCAGGGGGTTGAAAGGCAGGGCTATGGCAGGAGGAGAGCAAGGCTGAGCCTCGCCCAGCATTGCAGTGAGCAGCTTCCCACCAGCTGCTGTCTCCATAGCAGGAACAGCCTGGAAAAGTGGAGAAAAAAAGGCAAGCTGTTCCTTAAAATCAGGGGAAAAAAAATCTTGTTTTCTCTCTTCATTATCCCCAGCCAAAGCTAATCCATGCTGCAGGGAGAGCAGCTGCAATTGTCTGCAGCTGGTGCCCAGGGGCTGATTCCCCCTTGGGAAGATTTTCTTGGGTTTGTTCAAACAAATTGCTGGAATGATAAGAAACAGGGCTCGCTTTCCCCTGGCCCAGCACTCAGCACTGCCTTCCACCTTCATTTTTTGCTGGCCAGGATTGTGCCTGCTAGTGCAGAAGCTGAGGGAGCAGCAGCACATGCTCAGTGCAGGTTCAGCTGCAGTGCTGCAGGGCTGGAGCCCCACACACCCTCCTGCAGCAGCTGGACAAAGCTTCGTGCTTCCTGCAGCTCCTCATGGGATCCTGTGGGGCTCTACAAGGCTGGAGTGGTTCCCATCGTGTGTAGGTGTCTGGGCTGAGCAGAAGAGGGGAGCACCAGCTCCCTACATAGAGATTATGAAATGATGCAGTAAGGTGGGAGCCCCATGGGCTTTTCTTGGATGCTGGTGTCTGAGAAGGAGGAGCCGAGAGGAGCTGCTGCTTGGCATTCATGGATCCTGGAGTTTTCCCATCTCCAATGAAACGTCAGAGTTCTATGGCCTGACATGGGCATGGGTTGCCCTCTTACTCCCTGTTCTGAATGGTGTTGATGGACACCAATCAGCATTGCTCCATACCTTCATTTCTACTAGTGGTGACATTCAGGGCTCTTTCTGCCATGCCTCTCCATCACAGTGCTCTCAACAAATCGCTACCTATTTTCTCTCTCTATTGTTGATAGAGTGCATATGGCCTGTAAAATTAGATATTTATGGTACTTTTATTGGGACTTCAGTTTTGCAAGCCAAGAGAACCTCTTGCAGGCATTTCTTTTTGATTTAATTTTTTTAAACGTTGTCTCCAAGCAGAGGATCTGAATCTTTAAGTAATATATTTTCTTTCTAAAATATCTTCACTGGTGGCACCATGTTGGTTGCCCTCAGATATCTCAAAATTCTCCTATGCAGAAGGGACCTGAACTGCTGCTCATATCATCAGCTGTGATTTAGAAATACAAAAGAGTTAGAGAGCAACCAAGGTCCATGTGAATGCACTGTAGCACTTTGCACATCCCAGCTGGTGAAGAGCGGCTCAGGATATTTTCTAACAGCCCTTTTATTCTTTTGAAGTACCTCGACATGTTTAGTGCCATACTGCAGAATCTTGTGTTCTCTGAAAGTGTTTATACAAATAATATCTCTGTACAAGGTGCCAGTACAATAATCCCCAGTTAAGGTAAAGGAAACCAAAATCCAAAGGGACCAAACAGCTGCCTGTGGCTCAGTGTGACATGGAGCTCCTCACTTTGTCCCATGAACAGCTCATCCTATTCCAAGCTATTTGAAAGCAGCTTTTCATTGCTTTATCCAACCGTGACTACATTTGTCCCAAACCTGCACTCTGGGACAGCTGCCTCCATTTTGGCTCCTTCAACTGCTTTAGCAAGCAACCCAGTCCATGCTTTTCTACTTCCTGGTGACCATTCACTAACACACTCAGGCTCCTGGCTCTCTGCTGCCCTACTCAGACCCTTCTCCCTTGCTCAGCCAGGAGAAGGGGAAATCTCCCTGATTATTTTCCTGCAAAACACTCCACGTGTTCAGCATTGGAGAGTGAGTGATTTGCTCATCTATTGGCTGTGCGTAATGCGGGTTGATGTTGCGTACACGAGTTGCAAATGAAACCTGGGAGAGAATGAGGCAGGTAATAGGAAACCACTTCTGGGGATGGCTCAGCAGATGTCCGACAGCAGGCAGATGGTCTTCATGTCTGTCCTCATGAGCGATTCCACCTGCACCCACTGCACCTTTTGGGTCTCTATAGGAATGGAGATGCATCAGTCTTGTTCCTCAGGATCCCACTGCTTTCACTGGTTGCCCTTCCTCTTTTGGCTGTGTGAGCTCTCGTGCTGCTCTGGTGTGGGATATGGTGGAGCAAGAAGGAAGTGAGTTGGACTGAGGCAAAGGCCTTGCCATCAGCTTGATGGCAGTGAGAGTATCTCCATCCTGTTGTATTCTCAAAGCTTATCAAAGTTTGTGGTTGTTTTTGTTGTGCATGTGGCATAGCATTCTTTGTTCTGAAAGACCCGGATCACTGATCTTCTTTGCCTTCTGTTCGTATTTTAGCTACTTTTACAATTGGACCTTCTCTTCTTATTCTCTTCTTATTGCGGTATAGTATTCTTCACAGACACAATTTTTTACTTTTCCAAAGTTATATTTGCAAAACAAGTAATTTTCTTCTAATAACCTTCTTTTGACCTTGCTACCAAATACGGCACATTCAGTCTCATCCATTTTAATTCTCCAAATTCACACAAATATTCTTAATGTGCCTCTGGTTCATTATGACTTACACTGTACTGATGTTGTGCCTTACCAGCCCTGTTCTATTTTGCTGGACATCATTAAACATCTAACAAAAGGCAGGCTAATCAGACAGCCTTCAGCTTCCTTTCATCTGGTCAAGAAGTGAAGAACCAGAATTTTTGATCAATATTGGGTTGGAAATGGGAAACCCCATGGTCTGAGCACATCACCAGTGGGAGGTGGTTCTTGTTGCTCATGCCCTGTGCCCATCTCCAGCCACTTCTCTGTTTCCTGCTCCACAGCCACTCAGGGAGTAACTGGATGGTGTCCCCGGGACTTAACCTGAAAATAAACACTTTACATGGACAAATGCTGTGTGTAGCGCTCGCGGGAAGCAGCTGGAATATGAGGATGCATTATGTACTGCACAGCACTAGAGGGAGCACAGGAAATGGGTCACTGGAGAGGAAGGAAGCTGACCATGTTCATTTCTTGACAGGTTGGTAGAGGCTTCGGAATCTGCCTTGCTCTCCTTGAGACAGGGAGGAAGTAGTCTGACTTGTGCAATATAGACAGTGCAGGGAAAAGTTGGATGAAACATTTTAATTAAGATTAATTCTTGAATGTTGTGTGCAGTGGCATTGAAATAGAGCAGAATCAGATGGTGCTTGTTACTGGGCATAAATATTCAGAAGTATTGCTCCTTTTTAGATAGTATTGTCATTTAATGGCTACCTGGGGCCCATGAAACAAAAAATAAAGTTTACTCCACCTTACAGGATGCTTAAATAACAAGTCCAGCTTTTCCAGTCTAAATGTTATTGAAATATGTAAATTTGTGCACTGGAAGGCACATGATCTTTCCTGGCAGCAGCTCATTGCATGTAATTCTCTGGCCAACCAGCTGTCTTGTCTTGCTTCAGAAATGATTCCCCCTGACACAAGTATGTCCTCAGAACTTTACATCTATTGGTAAATATGAGTGCAGGCACTCCTGAGGTAAGTTGATGTGTGCAAGGTTTCCAGTAGTGGTCTTTTGCCCTGGGAGTTTTAAGCATTCTCTTTTTGATGCAACTGAAATTGAAAGTCTTGCTTCAGGAGACCTTGGATTTAATCTCCTTTGACACAGTTTCTTAAACAGTGACTCAGTGGTTATGTTCCCTACTTTTATTTGCAGTGTTATAAATCTTCCCCCGCTGAGCAAAATGGAGCACTCTCAAGGGATCATTCAAAAATATATTGGAAAAAAAAAACCTGACACTGAGTTTGAGACCATTTCCAGAGGAATGATTGCCTTGGTGGCCTGACATTGTGAGCCTGTACAAATGCCCTGAGTGACAGCTGTGACTGCTCCCCTGGCTGCAGTATCTGTTTGTAAATGTTTGGTTTGGTTTTAATTGCAGTCACGTTTATGTGTGAGCAATTGTGAAAGAAATTTAATGGTCCAGAGCTGGAAGTTTCAGTCTGCACCAATAAATAATTAAATGCCAAGATAGAAAAATAACTTGCCCTTGGAGACCTTAGACTAACTTCTGTTCTGAGAGGGTTGGACAACCCTCAAGATAAAGAGGTGAGTAGCAGTGAACAGACTGATGTTCAAACCCTACGTCAGCAAAATCCCCACGAAATTCAGCTTCCCATCTCATTTACAATGCCAAATCAAGCCGAACTGCATAGAACCAGGATCTCCCTCTGCTCACTGAATCTATTTCTTATCTTAGCCTACTGACAGCGTGTTGGACACATGTAACACCTATTTTCTAAAAACGACCTGGGGATGAGGTCATTGCGATGGTTCTCCCATGGGTCTGTATTTCCCCTTTTTCACGTAGAACCCCCCGGCCTTGGAGCTGCCCGGGGTGGTGCTGAAGGGACAGCTCCGCGCAGGGGATCGCGGGGACGGGGGCGGTGGTGCTGAAGGGACAGCTCCGCGCGGGGGATCGCGGGGATGGGGGCGGTGGTGCTGAAGGGACAGCTCCGCGCGGGCCGCTTTCTGTCCGGGGCTGGGCCGGGGGGATTCCCGCCCCACTGCCGCCTTTCCCGTTGTTTTTCCCCGGACCAAACTGTGCGGTTGCCATGGATTTGCCTGGTAGCGAGGGCTGCCCTAATGGTGGGGCTCTTTGGCTCTTCGCCCCGCAGCACGCCGGTCTCTGGGGCTGGCAGCTCTCAGCCTTTCTTCTTCGGCCCGTGTGCCCGCACGCTGCTAATTGCATCTGACGGCTGGCGCCGGGGTGCAGCTGCTGGCTCCAGCTCCAGGAGAAGGACGCAGACCACTTCCAGGGCTCATTAAAGCGCTGCCACAGCTCAGTGAAGCGATGTCCTTTTGTCCTCTTCTCTCCTCTTCATTTTAATTGACAGAGAGGGACGGTCAGTTTGTGCTACAGAAGGGAAGCAGGACAGGGAAGATCCCAGTGGAATGAAGGCAGCTGCTAAGAAGTGAAATCACTACAATAGGTCTCCTGAAATGCTGGGCTGCAGCAGACACTCATCTACACAGAAAACCACAAAATCAGAACTGGGGAGCTACTGAAGTTCAAGTAATGACATATAAAGCATTGTGGTTTAAAATAAGTGCTAGGAGTTAAACTGGTGGGTCAGCAATGTGGCATATCTGCTTAATGTCTTGGTTTCACACAGGATGAGGCATAATGGTAAAGTAAGGACCTTAGTGCCCTCTGTTAAGTGATAATGTCTCTCATTGGGTCCAGAGAGCCTCCTCTGGGCTCTTGGCAGCACATTATGAGACATAGTAGCTTAACTGATGCATGCCACCCTTCTAGCACAATGCTGCTTTCCAAAGTCTTTTTCATTAAGAACAAAATCAAAGATGTCTTGCTTGGATTGCTGATGTAAACTATTCATATCCGGCATGCATTTAATAGAAGAACCAAACAGGGCATTAAAATCAGCATGTGGCATGAACTGGGAAAAGTTCAATACAGATCCCTGCTACAGAGCTGCAGGGACTGTTGGTTAGCCAAAGGACCGTGTTAAATAGGATGATGTTTTGTAGCTGGGAGGACAAATAAGTGCTGATGTGAAGTATGCAAACAGACCCACTATTTTCCCCACCTGAATAGCTAAGGGAAAGCAGAGGAGAAGCTGTGTGCACTGCTGTTGTTAAGGCAGCAGCACGTGCACTTGTGATATCTGAGGGTGCAATGATGCATCCTCCAGCTGAGTAAACGTGAGGGGTCACAGTGACAGAACTTGAAGGGATCGTGCATTTCCCTATCCTTTGAAGAATGCCATGGGGACAGCATTTGCTGTGATTGCAGTCCATTATCAACCTCTATCTTCATGAACCCACCTGTGCCATCCCTTGCCTGCTCCTGCGGTGAAGGAGGTACACTGGAAAGTTGGAAGTTCTCCACACAACTGATTGCAGCTTTCCTCTTGACCCTGATGTCAGTAAGTTGCTGAGGGTTGAGAAATTTTGCAAGCTGTCAGTGGGCTTCTGAGTCTGGAACTGTTATGGAGAAAGTGTTTGGGCAGCCATCACTTTGTAGTTCACTACAAGGGCAGAAGCGTGTCTACTCCTAAAGGGAAAATTTTCTTACACCTCTGCAGATGGTAAAATCCTAATGTGTATCTTCCTATGACATTCGCTACACTGGCTGATAATTTAGTTTTCTCTGGTACTCCTTGGGGACACTTGGAAAACCCATAACCGCCTGGAAATCTTCCACAGAAGCTGGCAGCTGTGAATGGTTTTCCCTGGGCCTACTTGCTTCATTTCTCCATGAAAAGGAGCTGCTATTGCCATCAGACTCGTCATTGCTATTTTCTCTTTTTCAGCCTACAAGGAGAAAATGAAGGAGCTATCTCTGCTCTCCCTCATCTGCTCCTGTTTCCACACCCAGCCACATCCCAACACCATCTACCAGTATGGAGGTACGTGACTTGCTCCCACAGAAGCTGCAGAGCCTTTGACAAATGCTGTGGCTGACACTTTGCTCCCAGTGTGGGCACTCTCATCCTGGGGCAGAAATCCCCATCTCAGCCCAGGGTCCTTCTGCTAAGCCTCCTTCTCCAGCTTATTCTGTGTAGATGTGACTCACGTTTTCCCTGAAGGATCTGATCCCGGAGGCTGTCTAGTTCCTACTGGAGTGACATGCACTTTGTTAACAGCAGTATGGACTTTCTGTAATTGTGCTGTAACTTAAATGAATTAAGTTGACTTAGAGGGGATGAAGCTGATGACTAATCAAGAAATTCTGGAAGTAGAACAAAATTATCCAGGTCAAGACATGGAACTAACACTATTGTTCCTGTCTGGAGAGCTCAGTGGTGCCCTCAGGTGAAGGCTCTCCTGAATGTCACAGGTACACAGAGTTCGTTTGTTTTCTTCCCCCCTAGATATGGAGGTGAAGCAGCTGGATAAGAGGGCATCGGGCCAGAGCTTCGAGGTGATCCTGAAGTCTCCTTCAGATTTGTCTCCTGAGAGCCCCATCCTTTCCTCTCCCCCCAAGAAGAAGGACCTGTCCCTGGAGGAGCTGCAGAGGAGGCTGGAGGCTGCAGAGGAGAGAAGGAAGGTAACGCGATGTCCTGAAGCAGCAGTGGTAGTGGTACATTGCCCCAAACCCTAAAAAAATGGCTGATCAGGGGCAATCTAAAATCAAAAGTGATTGCTGATGGTGTTCTTAGGTATTACTGAGCTATAGTCAGGTGAGACATGGAGAGGATGCAGTTCTACAACCTGGTTTAGGCAGGAAATTGGATGTGGTGGCCATAATTATCCTCTGTTCCTAGAACTGCACAGCTGTATGGAGCCCTGTGTGATCCCACGTGCATGGCCATGCCATGGGGAGTTCTTAGCAGCTGATGTGGATGTAACAGCTGGTCACATAGCCAGATCAGCTTCAAGCCTTGCTGTTATAACAACTGCCTGTGCTATTTCCCACATCACTGTGAATGCCTTCTGGAGGGAGGAGGTCAGCAAAGCTCTGTGGGGTCCGGAGCAAGGCTGAGGGATGCTGTCCCATTGCCTCACCAGACCCAGGAGGCACAAGTGCTGAAGCAGCTGGCAGAGAAACGGGAGCACGAGCGGGAGGTGCTGCACAAGGCACTGGAGGAGAACAACAATTTCAGCCGCCTGGCTGAGGAGAAGCTCAACTACAAGATGGAGCTGAGCCGGGAGATCCGCGAGGCGCACCTGGCTGCCCTGAGGGAGCGGCTGCGTGAGAAGGTGAGTGTGTGGGGTGCTGGGGGGTCTGGGGAGGTCATGGGATCGTAGGGTCATAGATATCGTGAGTTGGAGGGAACCCAAAGGGGTCGTGGAGTCCTGCTTATGGTTTCACTCAGGACCTCCCAACATTGCAACCGTGTTTCTGAGACATTCTGATGGCCGTGTCGTCCAAGCGCTTCTTGAACTTGTGTCGTGTGCAAAGTGGTGGATGCCCCATCCCTCGAAATGTTCATGAAGTTCAGGCTGGCTGGGGCTCCGAGCATCTGACTGAGCTGTGGGCGTCCCTGTCCATTGCAGGGGAGCTGGGCTAGATGGCCATTAAGTGTCCCTTCCAACTCAAATGATTCTATGACCACTGCCCTGGGAAACCTGTTCTGTGCCCAGCTCCCCTCTGCTGAAGAAACCTTTCCTAACACCCAGCCTGACCCTCCCCTGGCACACCTCCATGCCATTCCCTCATCTGCAGGGCTGCAGCAGGTTGGTATTGCTCCACTTCTGCCCTGCAATGCTTTGCTTCTTGCAGGTGAATCCCCCTGTTCTCAGGGTACAAATCATGTATGCAGGACAGGAGGAAAACAGAGCAGGCAGGAGCAGACACTGTTAGCCTGTAGCTCTCATTGCTCACCCACAGCCCTCGGCTTGCCTTTAGGACTGACCACCTCGTGTCCTCTCTCCTGTTTTTGCAGGAGCTGCACGCAGCTGAAGTCCGCAGGAACAAGGAACAGCGGGAGGAGATCTCTGGATAAAGGGCTTTTCTACACATCTAGCACCTGATTCCTGTCAACAATCCGACCGACCGACACGTTTTACTTTGTTTGTCTAGATGCAGCGTTTGGTTCTCCATCCCTCCCCCCCCCCCCATCCCCTGGTGTTTGTCCCCCAGCAACACGCTTCTCTGTCTGCATCCTTAATCGTTCGGTGCTTGTGGGGAGTCACAGGTCGTAGAGACCTCTCAGCAGAATAGCAGCTAGTTCACCTGAAATAGAGATCAGCCAATCAAACAGCTTCTTTGGAGGGTTTGTCCTTTTTTCTTTTTTTAAAAAAAAATATTTCTTAAATTCATGTAAAAATTGAGATATTAATAAATTCAACCAGCAGTGTCACAGAGATACAGAACTCTTACCCGGGGGCTTTTACCACTCTTGGTGTTTGCTCTGAGCTAAGTATCAGGATAACAAGGAGTGATCACTTCTGTACGTAAGCAGAGCAATGAGCAGAATGTGAGTGAGTGGCAGGCTGGCTGCACGGTGCTGCCACGTGGCTCCCAGCCATTCCTGCAGCCAGGGTAGGCAGCAACCCAACGTCCTTATCTTGAGTGGATCTTTGGCAGCCGCTGTGAAAACAGGGGAGGGTCTCAGCACAGAGCTTGGTGCCATGTCATATAATGTCCCCAATCCCATCCTTGTCCCCATCCCTCTCCCTGTCTTCATCCATGTCTCCTTCCCCATCTCCATCCCCATCCCTGTCTCTGGTGGCTGCAGGCTGAGCCTCCTGCCCCCCTGGGTTCTGTCAACTCAGCTCTGCAGAACCACAGGAGGGCCCTCAGTCTGCAGGCTGCCAGCCCTCCATGGTCACCTCGGAAAGCAGGGACAGGACATGGTGGTGAGGCTGCCTGCTGGCAGGGAGGACGTCGCTCTTCCCAAGGATGGATGTGGCTCAGTGGATGCTGAGGACAGGGAGATCCTGAGCAGCACTTTGGGATAAGGACTTACCAGCAGCACTGGATGAGGTGGAGCTGAGCAGGAGCAGTTCTGCAGGAAGGGTGAGGAGGTGTTCCCATGCTCGTTTCTTGGCTATCTTTAGCTTTGCAAAGCCTATTTTTAAGCGAATGTTGTCTCTTGGTAGAGGTAGGGATGAGTGAAGGATATGCAAGTGTGACAGTGGTAGGTGACAGCAGTGTGATGCAGACAGGTGGCTGCCAGCCTGGGGCTTCCTCTGCTGCTACTGCCATGGTCTGGGAGGCAGCTGAAGTCCCAGCACTGCAGGGCTGTGCCCTGGGGACCTTGCACCCGCTCTGCCACTGCCTTGAAAAGCTGAGAGGAAACACTGCATCCAAAACATTGCATGGAATTGGGTCCAACTGTGCATGGGATGCAGTGCTGAGCAGCCAGCCCAGTCTGTGGTGGGATTTGGGGCAGGAGGTGATGAGGGTTACCCTGTGCAGTGCTTTGGTGCTGTGCTTCTCGGGGAGGGCAGCATGCAGGGGGGGGCTGCTGGGGTCCCTTGTGCTGTGTGTGGAGCAGAGGGGGTTACCCCATTCCTGGAGGTGGGATGGGGCCCTGAGCAGCTTGATCTGGTGGAGGTAACCAGCTCACAGCAGGGGGGTGATCTTTAAGGTCCCCTCCAACCCAAGCCATTCTATGATTCCACGATTTGCACCACAGGCTGCGTGCTTCCCTTTCCATCCCTCCCAAAAAGCATTGCTGGCTCAGTTAGGACCTGATGTTTTCTGTCTCAGGTATGCTTTAATTACACACACCAAACAAATGGTTACGACCAAAAAAAAAAAAAGAAAAAGAAAAGAAAACCCACCCAAAAAGCCAAAGGGCAGCACTGCTGGAGGTCTGACCCTGAGCTCTTTGCTGATCTCCCCACAAGTCCCCAAAGATCCAGGAGCAACCCCTCCACGGCCATAGAGCATTTCTGGGGCAACTCTGCTCCTGCAGGAAGGGCCAACCCTGGTGCTGGGGTACTGCAGAGCACTGGGGGCAGAGAAGGAACTGGAGAGGAACCGAGGGTTGACTTTCTTAGCAGTAGCCAATGATCCGTTTATAGTAGCAGCTGTCTTAGATACGCATCGTTGTAGAGCCAGCATCACTTCATCCATATAGTGACAAGAAATTAAAAAGAGGAAAAAGAAAATGTTTTAAAAAAAAAAAAAACAAACAAACCTAATTTTAAAAGTAATTTAAGCAAAATGTTTGTGTGTAAGAAAGGGTTGAAACTGTCACATGTCTGTGTCCCACGCTGGTGGGATCTGAGAAGGTATCCGCGAGATGTTGACCCCGTCCTGCTCTCTGTGGTGCTGAGTGTTTGCTTGGTGTGTACTTCTGACCTGGAGCTTGTTGTAAATACTGTTTTTAGTACTATGATTATTACTATGATGATGATTATTCTCTGAAATGTTGTACTGATGAGCAGGAGTCCTAAAGGAGAGAGATGAGCACCTTCCCTCCGGAGCGGGGCTGCGGCGCTCACCCAGGGATGGCACACAGATGTTTGTGCTCCTGTCTGTGATGGTGTGAGGGCTGTGCCCTGAGCCGGGGGGTGAGACTGAGGTGCTGTGGGCTCAGCGGGCTGAAGCTGTGCAAGGAAGGGGCTCAGACAGGGGTGAGCCTGGGGAGCATGCTGGTCCCACCCTGTTGGTGCCACGAGGGTGGGGGGATGTGGCTGCAGGATGCGCTGCTGCAGGCTGAGTCGTGCGTTGGTGACTGGCACACACGTGTGGCCAGGTGCTGCCCTGCCACGGGTGGGTGCTCCCAAGTCGGATGCCCCTCACGCCACTGCTACACTGAGCCTTTCTTTGTCTCATCAGCCCTGAGCCGTACAACTGCCATGCTGTAACCCAGACGTGGGGTTACCTTTGAGTCAGCCTTCTGTGGACGATTCACGACCATGTGAACCCTGCACCGCGGCCAGCTGCTATTGCTGCCCTGTTCTGTGGGGGTGAGCATCCCTGGTGTGGGTTCTGCCCTGCTGCAGCACTCTGTATGCAAAATTGCACCCATGGGAACAGGGTTTGCGTTCACACTGTTGTGCAGCTGGGAATGAGGCAGGAAATGGCTGCTCGTGGTGCTGGAGGTTTCTCATAGCCCAAAGCGGGGCCTGGGGGTCCCACGTTCCATTCTCAGCCAGAGGTGGTTGTTGTGCAAGAGAAGTGATGACGAAAAGAAAGGAAAAATAAAGGAAAAGGGTCTGATCCCCTGTGTGCCCATCTCTCTCTGTGAGTTGGTTGTTTGAGTTCTAAGGCTCCTGTGTGTATTGTGGGAATACCAATAAAAGGCGTTAAACAGAAAATGAACCTAAAGATTTTACAAAACAGAATCCAAGCCTCTGTATGTTAAATGAGTACTTTGCACCCATACAAAAGATGCAGAAATCGAGCCCATCCTTTATCACCGTTCTCAGAGGAAAAGAAAGTAATACAATGCTCAAATGCAGGTACCACCCCGAGCCCTTCGCTTAGAGGTGAGGGCGTGCAGCGGCGTAACAGAGGACAAACAAAACGTTATGAGATGATTGCAAATACAATAAATCCAGTTCTGGAAAATGTCTGAGTTTCTTTTCTTTTCAATATTCCCTCCCTCCCCACCCCTCACCTCATGTGTAATGTTTCCTAAAGGCAGCACAGCCCCCACCTCCACCCTGGAGCAGACAGAGCCCTGGAGTGAGATGCTCCCAAAACATCCCTAGTGCTGCAGCATTCAGATCAGTGCCCTTTGTGATTCCCTCAGGTGCTGTCCTGAGGAATCTGCACTGCTGCCTTAGTGGTCCTTCACCAGAATTTGCAGTGCCCACCACCCCCAGCCCCTCTGGCCCCGTAGGAACATTCCCACATTCCCAGCATATTTAGGGACTGCCCCATGTTTTGGGCCCTGTCCATATCTCTGCAGGAGCAGTGCTGGGGCTGCCACACCGCAGCTCTTCCCACGTGCACAGGATGCCACCATCCCCACATACAGCAATTCTATATTTGCAGTGTGACCTTGGCAGTTTGGAAGATAAGAGCCCAACTGGGAACGCAGTGCAGCTCAGTGCTCAGAGGTTTTCTAGCTGCAGCTCTGGGCATGGGGCTCTGTAACAACATGGTGATCTGTCCTGTGTAAAACAGAGACCAAGTGCCTGCAAGGCAGAGCCCTCGGCCCCAGCTGAGCTTGCAGCAAAAGGGAGATTTTGCTTCCCAGGAGATTACAGACTACAGACCCACTCTCTTTATTGCATTTCTGCCATTGGCCAGCATAGGAGATGATGGCAGAGGGAGGCTTCCATGGAAAGGGGTTTTGTGATGTCTGGTGGGTGAGTTGCCACTACTGGTGATCTGTTGGTCTTTGAGCAAAATAAATCATATGGGTGGCAGCCCTGCTCACAGCATCAGAATGGGGTGGTGCCAAGCCAAGCTATGAGTCTGTGAGACTCTGACACCCACTGGGGAAGTGACACCCATAGGAGAGGCATCCTGAGCTGCACAAAGCACTCCCGCAGACCGCTGTCTCCTCCAGGTGCATTTCTATCTCCAGTTTGACAATGCATTGCTGATAAAAGCAGTGGAACAGTCCTCAGAGAACATATCTCTTCAGACCTCAGGATTGGTGGTGAAGCAGTGCAGCACAGCTCTTGCAGGACTGTGAGCATCAGGGGAATGAGGACTGGAAAGCAGCTGCCTGCAGCTGGGCACAGCCTTGGCACCAGGAGCTCACACGTGGCTCCTGAAGCACTGCACGCCCCGCATGGAGTACTTTCTCCCTGTATCCAGTATAAGTTTCTCCTCTTTCAGTTTGAAGCCATTTCCCCTTGTCCTATCACACAGAATCTGCCAAAGATTCTGTCTCCAGCTCCTTTGGATCTGGAAAGGCCACTCTGAGGTCTCCCTGCAGCCCTCTGCCCTCCACACTGCACAGCCTCAGCTCTCTCAACCTGCCCTCATATGGAGGTGTTCCATCCCTTGGAGCATTTCTGTGGCCCTCCTTTAGATGTGTTCCAACAGATCCACGTCTCTCCTATGTCGAAGACTCCCCTCATGGATGCAGTGCTCCAGGTGAGGTCTCACAGCACAGTGCAGAGAGGCAGGACCACCTCCCTGCCCTGCTGGCCACACTGCTTTGGGTGGAAAATCCATGCATAAGCACTGCTCTGCATTCCTAAATGGAACGAATGCATGGAAGTGCACGCATGTGCACCAACGGGGAGGGAGGAAGGTCGATCTGCCCAGCACCCCGCTGCACTTGGCTCAGATGCATACGCTCCCCGTGCACACTGTGCCCTGTGCTGGGGGGTATGCATGAGGCTGGGTGCATTTGGGAGCAATGGCCGCACGCTCAGTGTGTGCATGCAGGAGTCTGGGTAGACGCACGGCTCCCCGGGGTCATGCAGGGCCCGGGGGCACGCACGGGGCCCGAGAAGCACGCAGGGTGCACGGCAACGCACGCAGGGGGGAACACACGAGGGGCGAGGAAATACACGGAGAGGGTAGAAACACACAGCAGGCCGGAAGGGACACGCAAGGCCGGGAAAGAAG